ATCTTCAGCTAGGTCATATTCCACAGTCCTAGACAAGTGCTCCTCGAAGCCTTGTCTGTGGCTGGCTGCTGAGTCCGGCAGTTTTGTTACTGGCCCACCACAAAAAAGGCAGAGACATGGTGAGCAATCATTTAGAAACACCTGTAGTAAGGTGACAGAGTAACTTTATGTTTGTTGAATCTAATAATAAAAAATTGAGTTTCTGTTTTATATGTCTGGGTTTTAATTTTATTTTTCTAGTAATTCAATTGTATTATTTTATGAAAGCATCAATCCATAGTTGATTGTTAATTAAAAGAAAACAAAAAGAAAGATTCTTCCCAAGATTAGAAATACTCAGCAAGTTAGTGCAGTGGAATGTTCGGGGCCGAGCCAACCTGAATGGGATTTCAGCTCTTTCACATAGAGCTATGTGGACAAGTTACTTAACACTCTGTGTCCCAATGGCTCTAGCTGCACAATGCATATCACAATATTTGCATTTTCCCAAGGAAAACCCAATAAATATTGGCTTTGGTGTCAGATGGCCCTCAGTTTCCTGAACTGTGAAATGGATGTAATAATCCCAGTGTCACAGTGGTTTAAGGATCAGATAACTTGGTTAAAATATGTAGTTCAGTGCCTACGCAGTGTCTAGCAAAAACCCCAAGTCAGCAGTCATTATTATTGAAAATGTCTTAGGCATAGTAGGCCCTTGATAAATATTAACTTATATCATCCCTCATTTGTGTAGAGGATTCTGAAGCACTCATGCCTCCTGATTTCAGTCCAAAATTTTGACTGACTGGGAACAACTCAGTCTGACCATGTCATATACTGATGCTCTCAAAAAGGATCTGGACCCCTGAGAAACAGTTTGTGGATGTGGCCCATCAGGGCAGGCTGCTTCTGTTTACCAGAGGATGTTTCTTCTCTAACATTTACATCTGAGAAAATTCTCCTCTCTGCTGTCTCTATGTTGAATGATATAATGCTGGGAGAAGGCCATTGACAGGTATGTCATAGGAATGCACAGATAGCTATTTCAGGTAATGGGGAACAATGTCAAAGAGAGATCATCCTATCTCTTCTTTCACAAATTATTAAACATAATGTGTCTCTTCATGCCCATCTTTAAAAAAATGCATAAGCGGCTAGTTGTAATGAGTAAAAAGAAGACATTGGCTGGGTGCGATGACCCACACCTGTAATCTCAGCACTTTGGGAGGCGGAGGTGGGCAGATTACCCAGGGCCAGGAGTTCAAGACCAGCCTGGCCAACATGGTGAACATTCATCTCTACAAAAATGCAAAAATTAACCAGGCATGGTGGTGCATGCCTAGCTCCTAGAATCCCAGCTACTCAGGGGGCTGAGGCAGGAGAATCACTTGAACTTGGGAGGTGGACGCTGCAATGAGCCAAGATTGTGCCATTGCACTCCAGCCTGGGTGACAGAATGAGACTCTGTCTCAAAAAAAAAAAAAGACATAAAAAGCTCTACATCATTTTAGAGTTTATAAAATGCTTTGATCTGACTTGATTTTTACAATACTATGGGCAGAGCATTCTATTTCCACCTCACTGATAAACTCAGCTGAGAAATTAAATGGTTTTCTAAGCATACATTGCTAGTGAAGGTATATCTTAAACTTGAACCCAATCCTTCAAATCCCAAAATACGAGTACAGAAAACACAGGTGAAGCAAGTTACATTCTGAAAAAAAATATATTTCAGAAGAAAGTCTCAGAAAAATAGTCAAATATGTGAAAAACTTTAAATTATGAATACAGATCTCTGTGAAAGACATACGATGGCCAACCAAGAATGAATATATGGATGGGATGTGGGTAGAAAACAAAAAACAATTGATGTCTATCCAAAAATAAAGAATATTAGGAAAAAATGTTCAAAGGATTACAGCTTGTGTTTAAGGTATAACTAGATTCAAAACCCATAGGTAGAAATGGGAGAAAAGGAAAAAAAAATCGAAAAAGCTGACAGACATTCCTAAATGGCCCAGGCTTAGAGACAGAGGCAGCCTTTGAGGATGTCAGACAAACCCCATAGAGAGAGCCCCAGCGGGCATCTTCAGCAACAGAACTAACCTTAACCATCGGCCCACTTAACCATTACCACTCTGAAGACAGTTCGTGAAGGCCAGGGGTAGATCATTCTGTCAGACAAATGTCTCCAGCTGCTACCGATGCCTGCAACCTCATCGGCTTAGTATTTGACCCTTAATAAGAGGTCAGTTACATTCGCAAGGGCAGCATCTCAAATGTTCTCAGTTATCTAGATCTTTGTGTGGAGGAATTTCAGGTCGTTACTTGAAAGGAGGTCTTAGCAGTAGAGGAAAACAGAGAGGCAGGGTAAATAAGGAGAGAGTGCCCCTTCTCAAGGAAGGCTGGCAATGCTGATGGGAAATACTGGCTTTTCACGATTTTCCCGGTTTCTGTAGTTATCATGATCACCTGACACAATTCTCTAATATTTTTATTAGGAAACTTTAGGCAACAGTTTTCTAATCATAATGCATTATACAGAAAAATTTTGTATGGAGGATAAGTGTATACATACAAAGACAGGCAATGAATAACAACAGTATTAAAGGTCATTGCTAAGACTCATCAACCTCTTACCATAGGCTTTATACTCTCTATCCTGTTTAATCTTTACAACCACTCTATGGGGGTGTGTATGATAACTTTCCTGACTTTATAGTTAAGAAGCGGGTTTAGAAACTGTTTATACAGCTACTAAGCAGTAGAGCAGGAATGTGAACCAGTCCAATTCTGGTTCAACCACCACATTTGTGCACCAAACTTAAGTGTTAGTATTATCATCATATCACTCACATTCATACATATGTCAATATTCTAGATCCCTGCAGCAAGGAAGCCAAAGCCCCTTACTATTAAAACTTTTTAAAATAGTAAAATAATCATAATAGAATAGAGTGAATTTCTAAGCTAAATCACAAAGCTTCTAATCAAAAATGGTTTTGCTTGAAACCTGCTTGGGGAAACACCCCTAGACCCAAGGAGTCCTTGTTCTCACCCCTCCCCTAATTTTGTTATTTTGTTGAAAAATTTGGACTAGTCTGCTCAATGAATATGTGTGTGCAGGTACTTGACCTGAACCATGGATCCTTGATCTTCATATTTAAAGATGAATCTGTTTGAGGGATCTGTTATCTTCATGTCACATTAGAGAGAATTGGCTCAGCCTTCTTTTGAGCTGTAAGCTTATTAACATAGCCAGTGGACACCTACAAACCTCAGTAGCTGAAGGGTGTCTGCCTCCTTCCCCTTCTCCTGACAATTATGCTGTGATTCACATTGTGTGGTTTCTTTGATTAAAAAACAGAACACATTTTATTCTCTAGCATTTTTCATTTAACAAGTTAGAAAAAGAAATGCAAAAAGACAAATCATCCTTGTGCCCTACCTCTCTAAATCTTACCCGCATTCATGACTATCTTAGGAAAGGGCTTTGAAAACCAGAAAGCACTAAACAAACATAAGGCTTCATGTAATTAGACAATGAGGGGGTCATTTAGTGCACTAGAATGCGGTGGAGTTTTCCTGTTCAGTGTCTGAATGATTTTGGTTATATCCATGGCAGTGCTGCTACAGCTAAACAGAGAAGTGCAGGGTAACTTTGAAATATTTTGAACTTATTGATCCTGAATCTCTCTTAAGAAAATAAATGAGTATCCAAAATTCCTCATGGGCCCCAAAGGACATTTATAAATAGAATATCCTTGTCAGCTTGAGGCCAAACTGGCTACAGAATTCGTCTAATTACTGAGACAGGGACTCAAGGCCTTGAAAAGATTCTAGGTACAGTCATGACATGCACCTGCATTCACCTCTAATTATTCATATTTTTCCTGCTAAAACTTTGAAAAAGTTATTTTATTTTTCCACTGTACTCTCTTTTAACTGTTGATCTAATCTGATAAGAAATATCTATAGGATGGTCACAGAATATGAAACAAAACAAAGCAGGTTTATATTCCATGGTAAGATGCTGCATGTGCAGACTCTAACTTAGGGAAAGAAAAGGCTTTGTAAAATTTCTTTCAATATATGAGCATGTAGGCACTAGCTGAGTAACTTTTTGATTCATTCATAAAATGAGTTATGACATTATCACCATCATCTGACACATCTTAGGACTTTAGTCTTCCTCCTGCAACTATGTATTGCCTTCACCTAACCAAGATGACTCTTAGAGAGTGATCTAAGCTTCCTTAAAAATGCATTCAGTGTCAATGCAAACTGATAATATTCATCCCAATTTCACTGTTCCCAGGGGAAGTCCCCTCCAAAAAACAATTCCACAGTCCATTGCTATTCAGGGAGCAGGGCTAATGCTTTTCCTCACTGCTTCTGTCCCTAAACTTCATTTGCATGCACAGGAGAAAAAGACATCCAACACAAGAGAGTGACAAGCCAAAAGGTCAAGGATCAGCACAGTGATGTGCTTTATAATATTTGCTTAATTAAGTGAGCTTCACAAAGTACACAAGGAGGTTTATACTTACCATTTAGGACACAGTAATCAAATTAACAGAACACTGTGAAACTCATTCTCAATTTCTTGTTCTAGTAGGAGCAAATAATGACATGTAAAATTGTGTAACACACGTATATGTTTGAGGTATTTCACAAACATGTAAATTTAATGGGATTATTTTACCCCACATATTTAATTTTTAATAATTAAAACTACCTGAAATTCTTCTACTACATTCTAATTTGGCAGTGGTAGAAAGTAGCCCCATAACATGCTGGATAGAAGAGTACACCCATTTGGGTTGAAAAATCCACCATAGTTAATCCTCAAAAGTGAAATTTTTGCATCCTATAATCAGAAGTTGCTGGGCATTTGATTAAATACCCCAGGCATTTCATCCCCAACGTACTTTCATTTCTCCCCCAACTGGCAAACAAGGGAAATCAGACCAAGAACCCGAAGAAACAAAGTGTGTACTTTAATACGGAAATGCTTTTACCTGCCATCCTGCTGTGAATGAAATGGGCTGGGCTTTCAAAATGTTAGTCAGCTTAACTCCCAGTTGGTGGCACTGGGAAAATGTAGCCACTCAGTCTTATTGCTGTGTTTCTGTTCTTTAACTGCCAACTGGAATACAATAGAGGATTCAAATGGAAACAAAAGAGAGATGGATCCAGAAAGAACCAGAAGGACGACAACAAAGCAAGCCAAGAAAATGCTAAGGAGCCAAAGACACTGCATTCCCCAAAGTCAGCATCCCAGGCCCTCTTCACATGGAAGATAATTAGGCTTCCGTTAATTACCACTTCCCCTCAGAGGGTCATGATATTTTACAAATCACAAATTATCTGGTAGATGCTTTGCTTTGTGACACTTTAGGAAAGTCATAAGATATGCTTAACCCAAACAGAGAATGACTATATCACATTGCTTAGACGTGGATAATTTATTTTACATATTATGAGGGATTTTAATGTAAACATACAAAGTAGCAGTGTTGAACACACTAATATTTTTGGACCACAAAGGCAGTGCCTCCATTCTGATGGATTACAGTATATGCAGCATACACAGAGGGCTAGATATTTTTATTCTCATATTGCATCAGCAGGTACCTTTACTTATGTTCAGCTTCTCCATCATCTTGCCATTGTTTTTTGTACTTTTTTTCTTCGTATGCAGACATTATGTTATTACAATAGTAGACACAAGGCTGCCACTTATCACACAATCCTCATGTCCTCTTTTAACTTCAGAACGTGTCAAAGTATGTATACCATTGTCTTTGGTTTGTGCACATTTAAGAATTCACACATCAAAAGTCAAACTTTGTCCAGGGTTACAGAGAAGCATGCCTTTCTCAATTACCCCTCCCCAAGAATAATGATGTATACAATTTATATTTTAATTTAAATATACTGCATGATGTATTGAGTTATAGTTTTCTAAGCTGCAAAGGATGAGGAAAGCAGTAAAAAAGAATGTGACTTACATAGAAACAAAATACATTCAGTAGCCTGGCTTTTAGGTCACAGTTTAAATAATGTATATGAAGTTTTATATTATAGATTTCTATATCAAATGGATAAATGAAAATTTTCATGGGCCTGGGATAGTCATAAGTAAAATCACATGAAATCACATCTTATGGGACATGATAAAATCTTACCTTATCAGATGTGACATCCAAAATGTTGCATTTTCCCTGTGATTTTATTAATAATGCAGGAGCATCCTTCTAATAGAGAATCTCTTTTATAAACACTGTCTTTGGTATTAATCAGAGTCAGAGTATTAACTAGGTGATCAGTACAAAATGTAAACAACTCTTGTTGTTTCAGCCAGTCTGAAAGTTCAGAATAAGAAAAAAAAAGTAAGAATTTTCGACTGGCCAGCAAAAATCAATACTACGGTTTTTATAATACTGTGAACTTGCTAGCATTTTATATTTTAACTATCTTTTTATGTCATTTTATTTATAGGGATGCGGTCTCTGCTACCCAGGCCGGAGTGTAGTGGCACAATCATAGCTCACTGCCGTCTCAAACTCCTGGGCTCAAGTGGTCCTCCCGCCTTAGCCTCCAAAGTAGCTGGGATTCCAGGTACGAGTCACTACACAAGGCTTAACTTTCTTATAATCCATTTTCGATCCCACAAATTACTAAAACTCAAATTGTGTCTGTCTCCAGACAAAGCAAGATGGTAATTTGTCAATTTTCTACTGAGACCTAAATTATTTTCCTGAATCTTCTACTCCTCAAATTCATTATAAAAACGAACAATTTACCATCTCACTTCACATGAGGAAGGTATTATAGAATGTAGATCCCAGGATAGAATAACCAAACACTACCTGGGGACAGATGAACATGCGTGTGTGCGTAACTTGAATTGTTCCAATTATTCTTTTGCTTATAAAGCAATTTCTATATGAGCTCCAGAAGCCACTTGGAAGCAAGATCCATTAGCATGCAACATTTTCTACTTCCGGAAGCCAACTCATAATAAATCTCTTACCTTGTAGAGAGAGGGAACAGCACAGGGCTCACAACAGGATGAGTGATGCATAAAATGTTCTTCAGCTGACTTCCCATGGGATTTATATTTCCAAACCTAGGAACACCGTCTGCCTGCACGGATGGAATGCTAAGCAATGCAGTCAAACAACCAATACGTTATGTATAGTTTTTTAACTTTAAGAAACCTAGAAGAAACTGTAAAATATGTAAACAAGTAAAATTGTGTCTAAACATTATAGCACAAATTAACTAGAAAAATACATAGCTTAAATAAGGAAGGTCAGTGATGGGCTCATATTTTAAGTGTGATTGTGATTATGAAAATAATATGCTATTTCTTAGAAACTGACCAGTTGCTGCATTCTTGGTTATAGGTTTAAGAGAGAGACTCTTTTGTATTGCATTAATGCAAGTATTTCACAAAGAAATCATAGGATCTGAATTACAGATAAAATGTCAGTCAAGGCATTTATTTTGGGGGTTTATTTTTCAAAAGTAACCAAGAGAATAAAGAAAATAATCTAAGAAAATAAATAAGAAAAATACATATGTTCAAATTCTACTTACATTTTCTCATTTGTTTGAAAAGGTATCACTAATTTTTTTACAGTACAGTTTCAAGTCAGACTTATTTCCAGTCTAAATTTAGCCCCTGTTCATTGTGTCTTATTTCTGCAGGCATGGGAAAGAAAATCAATGCTCCTACTCACCTTTGGAAGAATTTCACTGCCAAGTCTCGATGGTTCTATGGGATCCAATAATCCGTGGCTCAGTATTGATTTTTCTATGACACCTGTAGAAACAGCCTCTCCTTCCTTTCTAACAAAATATAGCAACAAAAATTGTGTGGTTTCTGAATGAATTAAGCATAGGTTATTAAGCACAACCTCATCGTGTAAGGCAATGTGGTTTATCTTTTCTTAAAAAATGTTGACTTGGCTCGATTTTTTTCTGAGTCATTTGAAGGCGATGTGAACATCTATGTGTAAAAATAATTTGAATATAACTTTCTTAGGTTTCTGGCACCTAACTTCTATATTGCAAATAGCATTTATTCTTCTAAGGAACTAGAAAAATGATAAAGCCTATCTGAGTTCAATTCCCAAAGTATCTCCAAAATCAAAATCTTTTGGATATACAAAACTAGAATCACGCTTTTAAAATCTAAAGCTTTGATTAAATACAGGACCTTTAAGGGAGTAAATAGGACATATCAAATCCTAGGAGAGAGAATGGGTTAAATTTGGGGTGTATTTTATAGCATTAAAAGAGTTGGAAAAACAGGCAAAAAGCAGCAGCCTTTCTCTTTTCTCAACAAACACAGTCCAAAACACACACACACACACACACACACACACACACACACAAAACAACAAGAAGTCATGTTTCCAATATTCTTTACACACCTTATTTAAACCTCAAAGGTATTTGTTTCACCCTGAGCAGATTCTTTGGGCATGTCTGATTCTATTTCCCCGCAGCCATTCTGCGCCGAGTGGAGTAACTACAGCTGGCAACCTACTCCAACACTCACTCCATCATCCTGAGAATCTGCAAAATAAAAATGCAGTGTTAGAAAAAAGAAAAAAAAATGTTTTCTTTTACCTTTGCTTTTCCTGGTAAAATCCTGGAAAAAAAAAATATGGAGCAGGGTGTTTCCCACAATGTATGTGACATCCTGGTTAAAAGTGACAGGACCATGTTGCACTGTGACAGGTTTAGTGTTAAGACCTGACAGATACAAACCTGCAGGAACAACCTCCCTGCCACAGGTATTTAAGCTCATGTGAAAACATCGATTTGATAGTCCCTTGATTAGCTTTTGCAACAGTGAGTGCTACTGCCTTTCAAGTTCATTATAAATTACGGAATTCTTCACAGTACTGTCAATTTAAGCTCTTGTTTTACTAAAAGGCAGGCATTTTAACCACTCATCAAACCTGTGCATATTTTTGAGTTAAAGAATTAGATCAATCCAAACTCCAGTTCTCAAGGGAGAAGTTCCATTGTTTATCAGGCCATGTCTACACTGGCTGAGCAAAGCGCTCTGTTCAGAAGGAGAAGCGCCTTTGGCAGCTAGAGTCTACATAGCTGACCCATGGTCGCTCGGGTGGAGTTTCTTCACCTAATTACACAAGTGCAATGAAATTACTGAACATTGATGAAAATGACCCATGACAACAAAATAGCATGACATGATTGTTGTTCTAATCTATTTACATGGTAGTCATTTAGAATGTAATTCAAAGAATCTGTAAGAATGTGAAGATGCTTATACTTACAGCAGATGATGAATATGGGTATTGAAATACTTGATAACTCAACATTTGGTTTTACCCAAGTCATTCTTTCTAAACAAGACAGTGGTGGCACAATTTTAAAATGAAATATTTTTCCTAACTGGTCCAGGTTAAGCTCACAACGCTTATATTTACAGAGAGAAATTCACAGAGTTTAAGTAATTAAAAAGATGATTTTAATCTCAACAAAACGGATTAAAAGGTAATCAACCTTCTGGAGAAAATATTTCATTTTTCCAACTTGCTCAGTGAAGATTTAGTAACATCTATAGGTACATTCGATTCTGGTGATAGTACCGTGCCCTTGACTCATCTTGAACGTTTTAGATAAAAAGTGGTTTAGCAGAAATGTTCTACTGACAGCCATGAAATTATAGTCTTTCCCTTTCATCCATCCAAACACACACCACCCTGTGAAATAATAGAAACAAACACTAATCACCTTTGGAATTTTGCCAGCCTTCCCCATAGGTGAGCTGCAGAGTTGGACTAAATTGTATTGGAGGAATAAAGCCTGTCTCATCCCTGTGAATGCTCTCAGAGGGCTTCAGAGTGCATCCATTTCAATTCATCGAAGAAAGCAGAAGTAAAGATTTAACTGTCTGGGAATCTATCAGAGCTTACCTCTATCAATAGCTCCCCAAAATAAAGTAGTTAAGTCAAACTCAAATTCAGTTTCCCTAATCACTTGGACTTTGCAGATGGGAGTAGCTCATAATTTTTCTTTTTTTGCCAATCCCAACTTCAGATTTTCAAGATAAGTGTTTCGTCACTCTGTTTCAGTTGGTAGTCATTCATACAATTTATACATCAAATCCTTTTTTAGTGGGTGCAAAATCCCAACTTCAGATGGAGCCATATGTCTGGCTGATTCGTTTTTTAAATTACCACTCAAATTATAAAACAAAAGAAATCTAGTTGCTCTAATTGCCTTATGTAGCAAAGTTCATCTAAGATAAGTTGAATTTTGTATCTTCTGAAAACACTGAGAATGTTTAAATATAAATATAAATATAATTGTTGCCAAAAATGTTTCAGTCGCCTGATGATGATGATGATGGTAGTGGTGGTGGTGGTGGTAATTATAAAAGTAGCAAACGTCCTTATGGTACTTGACTATGTGCCAAGCACTGTCCTAAATGCTTTGTGTATAGAAACTCATTTAATCCCCCAACAACCCTATAAGATAGATACTATTAGCCCAATTTAACAGATGAGGAAACAGAATTACAGAGACAGCAAGTTACTTGTCCTGGATCATGTAGTCAGTAAATGGCAGAGCTGGATTTGAATCTGCACAGTCCGGCTCCAGTGTCTATACTCTCTTAGATGGTGATGTGCTCGGCCTAGCCACAGTGATGAAGCTGGCATATCATTATGCACAGACATTTAAATTAAAACGTGGTGTTTTGACATTGGTTATTTCCTTCCTATATGAATGGAATTAACATGCCTGGAACTAGAGCTTCACTCTCTCAACTACTCTGTCCACCAGGCTCGTTCTTCTAAACTCACTCAGGATTTCCTTTACACCTTTCAAAACTTATATTTTAAGATATTTGTAAATGTGAAAAATATCAAATAAGAAAGGAACTGTAAAAATAAAAATTTTTAATTTGGGCCTAAGAATAATAGAGTATGTACCTAAATGTAACTTCATGGGATCAGGCCTACTGAGGTCAAATCCTAATGCTACCTATTCCAAGTTGGACAAGTTGTTCTATTTTTCTATGTCTTAGTTCTATTGTCTATAAAATGAGAATGAAAATAATGCTATAGTTTAAGATTGTGAAGATTAAATAAATTAATCCATATGAAATGCTGACCCCACTGCATGATAAGCGAGCATTTGATAAGTATGAGCTTCTGTTATTATATTTAGTTTATGTAGACTAGCCTTCAGCTGCAACTAAGCATTGACAATTAAAATTTGTCCTTGTAGTGTGAAAGTATTAACAGAGATTTACGAAAAATTTGTTGTTCTCACAGGAAATTCTTTCAGCATAGGGAAAATTTGGCTTTAAAAATTCACTGAGACATATTTTCACAAATAATTTTATTCCCCCTATTTTCAAGAACATAGACAAATTACAGATTATGACAGGACCACTTAAAAAGTCATCAGAGTTTATGATGTTATCACCTAAAAAGCTAAAAGTAGCCTTTTTGTTCTTGTGACAGGGTCTCTCTCTGTTGTCCAGGCTGGCATGCAGTGGCATGATCACGGCTCACTGCAGCCTTAATCTCCTGGGCTCAAGTGATCCTCCTGCCTCAGCTTCCCCAGTAGCTGGGACTACAGGTACACGACACCATGCCTGGCTAATTTTTTGGATTTTTAGTAGAGATGAGGTCTCACTGTATTGTCCAGGCTGGTCTCAAACTCTTCAACTCAAATGATCTTCCCACCTCAGCTTCCCAAAGTTCTGGGATTACAGGTATAAGCCATTGCAGCTGGCCTGAAAGTAGCTTTTTCTATATGGCAAGATTTTAAATAACATAAAAGCATTGCTTCCTTGTTTTTATATCATAATTCATATTTCTAGACAGAGTTACTTAAGTCAAATTGACCTTGATGGCAGTGATTCAATTTTAACAATTGAGCAATTAAACATCAGTAAAATTGTCCGTTATCTTCAGCTTGTCCATTTTTTAATTCACACTTCTCAATAATCTGAGTGCTCAGGCTTATATTTAAGTCCCAACTCTTTGAGGTCACATGGGTGAGTTAGAAATGGCTACTCCAGCACATAAAATAGAAATGTCCATCCCAAAGAAAAAGTAATGCAGGGATTAGGAGAAAATTAATTACTGAGCATCCAGCTTGCATAGAGCTATTCGGTAAGTGCTATCGAGAGAATTAAAAAAATGGATGGAAACCTTTTTGCTTCAGTTCTAAAATGGACACCTCCACCAGAGACAGCGTGAAAACCCCAGAGGCCCAGAACCTATTCTAGGTAAATCTCACTCTTTCACCTGGATATTCCCAGGATGCACCGAACTGTCTTTTTCCAGTTTGGTCACCATGGAACTTGAGAGCCTCTTGCTGGTCCCCAAGAAGCTGGCAATAAAGAGAGACACATTTGCCTCATGTCCCAGTACCTCAGGGACCAGATATTCTTTGGCAATCCTGAAATAAAGGAAGTCTTGATATATAGCTAGTGCCTTGGTCAAGAATTAAAGTTTTGAAAAAAGGAGTTGGTGTGTGGCCTCATCTGGTACAAAGAGAGTAGACTGAAAACCAGGCGCAGTCAATGTGTCTTAATGTTAATCCTAACTGCACACACCCAGGCTCCCCACTGCAAACTCTACCTCCCAGCACTGCAACGTCTCCCTGCCAGGTTCAAGCAATTCTCCTGCCTCAGCCTCCTGAGTAGCTGGGATCACAGACATGCATCACCGGCTAATTTTTGTATTTTCAGTAGAGACAGTGTTTCGCCATGTTGTCAGGCTGATCTCGAACTCTTAACCTCAGGTGATCCACCCGCCTCAGCCTTCCAAAGTGCTGGGATTACATGTGTAAGCCACCGTGCCCGGCCAGAAAATTCTCATTCTGAAATGGGATCTCAGCAGTCATCAGCTTCCAGGTTTCTGGATGAGGAGAGCATGTCCCAGAGACAGCCATCTGCCGAAAGTCTCATAGAGTGAGCAGCAGTTTTAGAATTAAAACCCGTGGAAGTAGAAGGAGACGGTTGAAGTGTTAGAGTAGAAACAAATTCTTCATAGCAATTCATGATTAGAAGAAAAATGGAAACACAAGGAAAGACACAAATGACTTCTACAGTCAAGAGATGTCAGCAACCTCAACCGTGAATTATTGGCACAGACAACCAGGGGGATGTGAAGAACAAAGACTGCCAGGAGCTGAACAAGGCAACCTGGTTCCACTGAGAGGATGAGCCTTCCCTAGCAAAGGGAATGGACGCTTGCAGTAACTACGTGGGGAAGTTATCTGATGTTCAGATTTCCTATCTGAGAGCATCTTTAAGTTACTTAACCACAGTGTCAGTCACAGTGTTATCTCCAGTATCTTCAACAAGCATTATTAGCTGCAGCTATTACTGCTGCTACTCTATGACCCACCCCCCCACACCCCAGCTGCTCGAGGTTCATTAAATGTGTTTTTCAGATTTTCTGAACAAAATACAAAAATTTTATTTTCTTGTGGCAGTTTCATTTTTTTTTTAATTGTTGCATGTTTGGGTCTCTTTTAAAGATATTTAGATATTTAAGTTTTAGAAAGGATACTCCTTA